AAACGTTTACCTCCTTTACCATATTTTATGTTAACATTTTATCAAACCAAAAACCTCATACTCGATGGCAAAATTGTAGTACCTTGACTAGAGCATTTTAAATAGCTTAGGAATTAATTTGTAAATCTTATTTTACAAGTAGTGTTGGTTGTAAAAGTGACCAGTCCATTGTACCAATATTTGTATCTCATTGTGGTCCCTCTTGCTTAAAGCTGGAAAAGGGAGCTTCTATCTGTAGGCTGGCTGATGTTTCATAGGAAGCATAACGTTGCAGGTAATTCAGGCTCTGCAGTCTAGAATCAGAATTTAAAGTTATGTATAAATGAATCAATTAGTAAATACTAGTGCATTTTTTCAACCTATCTTCAACTTTTGTATTCATGATTATTTCAAATACTTTAATTGCTAAATAAATAAAGTAGAAGGATACAAAATTTTCTTTTAACAATTTGAGACAAAAATAATTTTAGTTACAGAAGATACATGATTTGCTTTGGAGAAGAAAAATCCTTTCATAACCATTCGTGTACGTTTTATACAACAGAATGGGTAAGATGGGTTTTAGACTTCTTACAAGGATTTAAAAAAAATGTACTGACTAATGTCTTTTCATTTTTAATGATTACTTTAGAGGTATGACAACAAATGCAGGCACAGAACATGCTGATAAGATCAAGTATGGTAATTGATACTGCTTACCTTTTCAACTTGAAGAGATGTACAATAAAAGTCCATATGTCATGAACTAGCCGCACATGAAGATGCCACAGCTCTTTATTTTGCAACCTAAGATTTAAAACAGAAATACATAATTATTGTGATAAAGAGAGCACATCTTTTTTCCAGAAAAATATTTGTCATTGTATCTAATGTGTTCAATAGAACATAAGTACATTTTTATCAATAATTACAATAGTAAGTTACATGTATTTGGTCCCACACATTGTTACCGACCACATTGAAAGTTTTAGACATTTGCAAGATTGACTATGGAGTCTAATCTTGATCTCGGATACCCTGCTCTTGAACCAAACACTGTTGTACACAGAATCAATGAACATTCCCCTGTCGTGAGTAAAAGGAAATTATATACCTCAACTGGTACATAACAAACAGCTTACATCATACAGCGCTCAAAATACACGGGGGCGGTGGGCGATTCGCCCCCGTGAGCTCCATAATCGCCCCCGTCAGGTTGCTCACGGGGGCGATTGCAAAATTAAAAATCGCCCCCGTGGAATTATAAAATAAACATATCTTTTCCCGATTTAATTTTAACACAATATTGAGTATCAATTTTCAAACCTTAAACCAATGAAATGGAACTTGAAGACGCTATCTCTCCCATCGCTATGAGTATTACCGATACAAACAACGGAAGCTCACAGTGCAGCTAATGCGGCCGTCAGCAGTGGCTATGCGCGAATAGTACCGGTGTGCACGCTGACGCCCAATATCTGCAATCCAGCCCGCCCGCCCCCCCCCCTTTACTCCGTAAACGGAGGGATACCACGCGGTTCCCAAAATGTCCGGTAAAGGGATACTTTTCACGCACCAAAGTTCGGCTCGTAGTACACAAAAATCCGGCCCGTATTGACTTTACACACCGGACTTAGGGGTGTGTTTTCAAAAGGAGGGAACATTGTGCGTACCCTAAATAACACTGATCGAGAGGGGGGGGGGGGGGCGCAAGGACATGGAGAAGTTTTTCGTTGTGAAAAGTGTGAATCCTCTGAAATCTGGTGATTCTAAAAGACCAGCAAATAATGTAACTCGACCAGTAAATCAATATTGAGAAGAAGAAGAAGACCAAAGATGTTGCAGGGGCGGATCTAGGCGGTTCAGGGGGTTAACCCCCTCCCCCCTCCCCCTTGGGCTGCCAAGTGAAAATGTGAAGTGCATAGAAAAATGCTATCATGTGTCCAGACCTACACAGTATTAGTAGATGTCAGTAGATGCCAGGAAAACATTACTAACGGGGGTTCAAAATATATAGCACCAACAAAAATCCGTGGACAAAAAATTAATTTGAGCCTGCATACATATATACTCATAACAGTTTGTTCAATCACATCTTTATACATTAATTGCTGCCCTATTATTTGTACAATATGTATCAGTCTGGCTGATGTAGTCATTTAGCTTTGATTTAGACTTGCCATGGTTGACTTCCCCTTATATGGATTTATCAGTTTGTGATTGTACGTAGAAAATGTAATGAAAATCAAGATTACACCCTCAACAAAAAATTAGTAATTTATTTATATGTAGGTCTAGAACCACACCAAAAAATACTTACCGGTACCTTTCACTTGTTTAAATATTGGTGTGCAATTTTTACTAGTAAAAAGATCACTTCACAAGGCCGCTTAGCACAGTAGGGTCTATAGTTGTATACCTAGACATTGAGCTTGAGTACATTCTGCGTATCCAAACCCTTTCCTTATTGAGCTCAAGGCCGAGGTAGAATGAGAAGTCCAAGACTGTAGAGACACGGCAGAAGAGAACTTTTGAGTCTTGGACTAAAGGTCTATTCGGTGGATACAACTTGAGGTCCACTCTATCTTTGAGTTTGACTCTGTCAAAAGAAAAATGAAATTAAGAAAAAAATAATAATATAGGGAGCCTAAGGCTTACCGTTAGTTAGAGACCCTAATAGTCTACTAATAGACCAAGTTTTAATAATAATATGCCTAGACCTACTAGTCTAGAATTCAACTTGTTACTGTAGTGTTAGGTACAGACTAGAACTAACTCCTTACAAAATACAGAAGTCTAGACTAGATTCTAGGTCCACATCTAGGAGTAGGGTCTCTAGGACTAGTCCTGCAGAAGAGAGCTACAGACTGCACTGCAGTATGCATGAGCCTTAGACCTAGTTAGAGCGGCTAGATCTATCAAGTATCAAGTAGACTAAATCTGCATCTAGATCTAAATGCAACTTGGGTCTGACTGCAACACTCTAGAGTCTAATCTTCTTTAATAAAATATTAACGTCAAAACAATGATCCTGTAAAAAATTTAATTGTTAATTTAATAATAATATTATTAACAAAAACAAGACAAGGGCCGCTAAAAAAAAATAAGGGGGATAGAGTCTAGACCTAAACAGTAGTGCGGAGAGAAATCAAAGTAGATCTAGATTATAAGCCCAGATCTATTGTATAACCACAAGACTACTGCAAGAATAAACTAGATTAATGAGTTTGTACCTGTCCTAACCTGATAAAAGCAGAAACACATAGTTGAAAACCATCCAGAGACTCCTAATAAATTGCGTTACTGACTTATTAATTATAGATCTAGACCTATCATTACAAATCAATATTCTCAGTTTTCTTATGTATAACTGATTTTCTTATAAAACTGAAGATATGGCGTATAGATCTACACTATATTCAATACTGAATGAACGCCATTAAACTATTACCAACAACAACGCGCTAGTGTAGTTCCGTATCCATTTTTTTTTAGCAGTTTCATATCCATTCTTAGCAAAGGAATTTTAGCCTAATTTTTTACTAATTTTAATCATAATCATATATCCTATTTTCCACCTGAATTTGGATCACATCCGACATCGGGAAGCCTCCGTTTAGGGGTTCGATGTCGACGTTGTCGCTCAGTACCGTCTCTACGCTATAGCTCTGCACTTAAAACTGAAGCTATCAGTCTAAAATTATGCAAACTTCTCGTATAGTTTATGGTATCGTGCATGTGCGTTATACCCCCACAGCATACACGAAGACGTCGACATCGAAGCCCTAAACGGAGGCTTCCCGATGTCGGATGCGATCCAAATTCAGGTCGAAAATGCAATATATGATTATGATTAAAGTTAGTACATAATTGGGCTAAACTTCTCTTATTTAGAATGGATATTAAACTTCTCTTATTTAGAATGGATATTAAACTGCTAAAAAAATGGATACGGAACTACACTAGCGCCGAAAATTCCTATTGGACCTGCATGAATTTATATGAATGGGACTGAAATGATTGAACCAGTGCAATTCGTCCACTTTTTAGCCCAGTTGGGGAGTGATATAAATTGATATTATCTAAAGTTTTGTTCAGTTAAACAAAAATGTAATTTTATAAAAGTGACAGGAACACTTTTCTTCCTCCAAAATAGCAGATTTGTTATCAACAAAATTAATATTTAAAAAAAAAAACGGAATTTACTTACTTTTTCAAGGACTCTCTTGCAGTAGTTTAGCAATGCAATTTATTTTGTGATCGATTTACCCCAAATTGACTAGCCTTGATTGCAGACACCTACAAATCTATTTTAGCTTAAAATAACGCGGATCATTTGGCTTCATGCAACGTACAGAAACTTGTAATAAATTGCTACTGATAAATTTGCTACTGATATTTGCAATCTATTGCAACTCAACTATCTTGCAAACATAACACTACAAACATAAAAACATGTATGAGAGGTCTAAATAATACGGCAAACATTTTACTTTAAAGTTTTCTGAAAATTAACGTTAACAATTCGAGTGGACACTTTTCGCCAATCGCAGACTCATATCGCCGATCTAGGAGACACGTATCGCCGGTGGGATGCGGTGATATGTGTCTCTAAGACGCACATCGCCTGGCGATATGCGACACATAACGCCACGACACCGGCCGGATCTTATTGACCAATTTATTTCTTTTGCTTAAATACTACATTTATTTATGCAAATTTCAAAGTAAAAATCCCAATTTTCAAGGTTTCAGAACTTATATTAACTATAATAAAGATCTTGAATATCATATTGCAAAAAAGAAAACATATTGCCCTTGCACTTAATTGAAGTTTGTTTTATGATGTTTTATATATGGTGGCCCTGAAGGGACATCGCGAATAGACTAAATCGCGAAAAATTGGCGATAATCCTGAATATCGTGAATTTTATGGTGAATTTTATCGCCAATTTTTTCACGACGAAATTGACGATATCGTGAATTTTATCGCCAATTTTTCGCGATTTAGTCTATTCGCGATGTCCCTTCAGGGCCACCATACTAAAACGTATCCTTTTAATAACCAAACATTCTTTCAAATTTTGAAAAATTCACTACTTTACTAATCTCCTGATTAATAGTTTTAATGGTATCATCCCAAGTGGGTTTTACAGTCTGACATTCAATGAAAAGATGTAGGTAATTAAGTCTCGGGTTCATTATCGCAAAATGAACAATTAGGAGAATCCTTTCGTTTAATTTTGAACAAGGAGTTTTTTAATGCTGTGGTTTTATGAAATAGTTTGAAATAAAATGAACGAATGCGAGTGCTTATAGAACATTTGAAATTATCAATATGGATCTTGTCCCAATTGACAGGGTGAGGGTTAAAAAGTTCTTTCCGGAATGTTATTCTCTTTTCGGGAACATGTGGCTCTAGAATGACATTATAAGTATATTTGGGAACTTTCCTAGCATGCACAAGATTATTGACAAGGGCATCAGAGATTACAAAATGAATCAGGTCTGATGATACCAACCAATCAGGAGGAACAATTTTCATAAGAAAGTTGTATTTCCTCCTTTCCCTAGGATTAATATCGTAATCAAGTATCAATTCTTCAAAAAGTTTGCTACCAGGGTGAGGATGTTTAAGCAAATCACTAAATAAAGATGATACCTTTACCAATCCAATCCTGCTACAAAAAAAAAACAATTTTTGGAATTTGAACTAATATTCTTATTAATCCAAATACATTGACAAGAACCAATCGAGGAAAAAATTCATATCAAATTCAGCTTTCACAACATTTTCTCTAAAAATGTACCACGTTCGAAGGGAATCAGCTAATTGACTCGAGTATAATTTGTTCAAAATTTGGTCGGGGGCATGAGCCTTCCATAGAATGTTTCTTTCTTTATTGAACTTCACTAAAACAGCAAACAGCAACAATTTTGTTATCCACAGTCAACAGAGATATGGATCTAAATTTTTTTAAATACAAGTTATCTTTATCGTTTTGGGGATCAGAGTAATAATACCGTTCCTCTGGGAAATAGACATTAATCAATGCTGTAATAAAAAATTAAAAGAATCAATTAACATATCCGAAATATCTTTCCACAAAAACAACATAAAATTCCACAGGTAGGCCATCAAGACCTGGTGATTAATTATGTTTCATTGAAGTAATCGTTTCCAGGAGTTCCTGTTTGGAAATAGGAGTTTCTAAAAATTCTTTATCAGCACCATTCAATTGGGGGATATGAATAAGTTCCCAAAATTCCTTAATGTCATCTTGATTGTTGTCTCTATCTTGTAATTTATACAGATTTTTTTCGAGCACAATATTCTATACACCGGTTATTGTACATTTTAAGGAATGCCATAAAGAGTTTGAGTTAAATTGGGTATTGGAATGAATGCTTTTAAAATTCTACAATTTTGTCCTTAATTTGTTGAATGAATTCAGCATCGTTACGTAAGTATGAACAGTTTAATGTCCAAAACCCTCGGCTTCTCGTGCGTTTAGCTTCTTTAAAAATCAAAGTAACAACTGAATGGTCAGATTGAATTCCCGGCAGTATTTTAGACTGAACACAATTATTAACAAAGTTATTTGAAACAAGAATAAAATCAAGTCTAGGAAGCATCTTTTTTATTTGGTGTCTGGTATATTGCTTGAGTGCTGGTTGAAAATTTCGCCAGATATCACACAAATTAAATTCTTCCATTATTACTTTTATTATGTCGCTCGCCCTGTTATTTGTATGAGTGACTCCGCTCCCTGGATAGTCAAGATGGGTTTAATACAGCTTTGAAATCTCCAGCAGATAGGAAAGAAAGATTATTAAATTGTTCAACTCGAGCAAACATTTCAAGAAAAAAATCAGCGTCATCATTGTTTGGACCATACAAGTTGACTAAAAGTAGGGGAATATCATTGATATTAAAGGTAATACAAAGTTTTGGGAAATTTTGAAAATTGGGTGGATAGTGATTCTTTACAATTTTTATATATTTGGATGCGTCTGTGGATGTATTATAAACACTAGAAAATTTAGCCCCTAAAGTACTTCTGCTTTCGAGAAAAATTGAATGTAAACATTTACCGGTGCTCCCGGTAAATTTTGATACATTTCAAATAGCGCCTACGGCCGTACAATGGTAGCTGCGACCATGAAAATCTCAGAATATGTAGTTGCGACATATAATTTCCGAACGGGAACAACTAATCGGTAGATTTTACTCAAGAAACATTTGTTTTATAGCTTGATTTATATCTTGGCCTTAAGAGGGAGCTATACAACATACAGAGTTTATTATTTACAATTTCATAACTTTAGACTCGATTTCATCCGCGACAACGATGACTGAATATTGTAGGACCGCATATGCGTCCAATGTTCATTTGATCCAAATTCATGACCCCATACCAACACTTTGTATTACCTTTAACAGAAATTATCAAATATCAACCGTTTGGGTCAACATATAAGGGATTTAAATCAACAGAAGCACGGTTACGAATAAAAATAGCTACATCTCTGCTATTTGAGTTATAACTTGAAAACCATGCCTTTTCACCCTATCGGGAACTCCAAACAATCTCATCACTTTTAGAAGAATGAGTTTCTTAGAGAAAAATAATATCACTTTCAATGGACCTTAGATAGGGAAAAAACTTTCGTCCCTTCATATGATCTTGAATCCCTTTACAATTAAACAAACTTAATTTAATATTCATATATGCATTGTATTTATAGATATAACTCCAAATTGAAATCAATGACTTTGTAAAAATGTTCTAAAGACGGATAGTCTACATGTATATATGAAACAGTAATACGTGCACATGAACATCGAAAAGTCTGCAAATGAAAATAAGTACACAAATCAGTGAAGGTTACCATATAGAGCAAAAAGAGCTGCGAATACATGAAATTGAGGTCTGCTGCTAAACCAAAAAAAAATAAAAAAAATAAATAACAACAAAAGATTCTCAAAAGAAGACTAGAGTGTCGATGCAAAAGATCGCGCGGGCAAGGGCCTCAAATCAACAAACATCTCCAACCAAGAAAATGCTGCGCATGCTGTGCAGCCATGAGCCAATTCAGTTTTAATAAGAAGAATTTAAATGAAAGTGGTGACCTTCCTTGATGAAAAGTATAAACTTGTACACTGTAGGCCTACAGAGCAAAATGATACACAGAAGTACCATTAGAATAGATATTAACTGTTACTGTTGTTAGCAAACAACAAAAGAAGCATCCCTCTTATCCATCTCAAAAGGGACATACAGTAAAAGTATTACAATATGCAAAGGAAAAACTGACTAGGACGTTAACCTAGTATAAAACTATAAGACACTGAATAGTTGAGATCTTGTTTAACTTAGATCAACAAAAATAGACAGTTCCGCGAGCTTTCAGTATAAACAAAATAACAGGCAAATAGATCCTGATGACCTACAGTGTTTATGCGTAAGGCAGCAAGACCCCCTTCAAGGTTCGTGGGACTTTCGAAACTGAATTGACCTTCAGAGACAACACTGCTCAAGCAATTTTCTATGTGGTCTACGGAGATTCTGATAATCTGTTGAGCTGTGACACTTCAGAATCGCTAGGCATCGTCAAGCTCACGTATGCAGTAACGGCTGACGACATATCATCAAGCTATGCCGATCTCTTCAACGGGCTGGGAAAACTCAAAGACGTGAAGTGTAAACTTCACATTGACGACACTGTCAAACCAGTAGTCCAGCCCCATCGCAGGATTCCATTCCACGTTCGCAAACAGACAGAAAAAGAACTTCAGCGTCTTCTTGATTTGGATATCATTAAACGGGTTGGTGGTGAGCCAACACCTTGGGTTTCACCGATTCTAGTTTTCAAAAAACCCAAGAGTCAAAATCAGATCCGCATCTGCGTGGATATGCGTGTTCCTAACAAAGCAATTCAGAGAGAACGCCATTTGACCCCCATTATTGACGAGATCATCGCCAATGTAAATGGAGCTCGACACTTCGCGAAGTTGGATCTCAACGCTGGTTACCTCCAAATAGAGCTTGCTGAGGAGTCACGTTATGTAACTATCTTTTCTACTCATGTTGGCCTATTCAGATATAAGCGACTCAACTTCGGAGTCAATTCCGCAGCAGAGGTGTTTCAGCAGATGATACAAACCACCCTCAGTGGTCTTGATGGAGTTCTGAATATCAGCGACGATATTCTAGTGTATGGCCGTCCACCCGAGGAACTCAACGACAGGCTTGAACAATGCCTGAAGCGACTGAAAGACAATCACCTCACTCTCAACAAAGACAAGTGCGAATTCCGTAAGGAAAGGATGGATTTTTTTGGACATGTATTGAGTGCAGGTGGGGTATCACCTGACCCCAAGAAAGTACAAGCCATACTAAATGCATCAGATCCATCTAATGCCAGGAGGTGCGCAGTTTCTTTGGACTAATCAACTACTGCGGAAGATTCATCCCTGACCTTGCGACGCTGTCTGCTCCTCTACGTAATCAAACTAGAGAGACAGTAGAGTGGCAGTGGACAAGAGATCATCAGACAGCCATGAACGATGTCAAACAGCGCCTGGCAGCAGGATGCACGAATGCCTTCTACGATCCTGAGAAAAGTACGCAGCTTCCGGTAGATGCCAGCCCAGTGGGAATCGGTGCTGTGCTGGCACAGAAAAGCAAAGATGGAGAGCCCTCCGTAGTCGCATTGGCCAGCAGATCACTGCACCGGTAGAACAGCGGTATTCCCAGATAGAGAGAGAGAGGCCCTGACGATAACCTGGGGCATACAGCATTTCCACCTCTATCTCTATGGTAATACATTTGAAGCAGTCACTGACCACAAGCCTCTGGTGACTATATTCAACAATGCCCATAGCAAGCCTCCAACGCGAATTGAGAGATGGATTCTCAAAATTCAAGAGTATGACTTCACTGTCGTATATCAGCCTGGAAAGTCCAACCCAGCGGACTACCTGTCCCGCCATCCGCTGCCGACTACTGAGCGTACAAGCCGCGAAGAGAAAACAGCAGAGGAACATATCAACTTCGTGAGCGTGAATGCAGTGCCAAAGTCGATGAAGCTAAGCGAAATCCAAGACGCGACCAAGCAAGACGTCGCATTGAGTCTTTGTATGAAGGCTCTCAGATCGCGTTATTGGAAAGAAGTGAAAGATACCGCCTCATCTTCAGATGTAGCGAGATGCCTTCAGAACTTCTACAATGTTCGCGACCAGTTGTCAATCGCACCCAATGATGATTATGTGTTACGCGGAAGTTGCATTGTCATCCCACAATCGCTATGTGATCGTGTAATCGATATCGCACATGAAGGCCATCAAGGCGTCGTGAAAACCAAGCAGCTTCTGAGAGAAAAAAGTGTGGTTTCCTGGAATTGATCGCATCGTTGAGCGTAAAATAAGTCAGTGTTTACCATGTCAGGCAACGAAAGTAGGGCCAAGTCCTCGCGCATCACTTCAAATGTCAGATTTGCCGAATGGTCCTTGGGAAGAAGTGAGCGTAGATTTCGCAGATTTGTCCTCTGGAGATCATCTGCTAGTGGTTATTTATGATTATAGTCGATACCCAGTTGTAGAAGTCGTATCGTCGACGTCGGGGAAAGCTACAATTTCGAAGCTTGATAAAGCTTTCTCATTGTTTGGAGTCCCGCAGATTGTAAGATCCGATAATGGTCCGCCATTCAACAGCGATGAGTTTAAGCAGTTCGCAGAATACCTAGGCTTCACCCATCACAAGGTAACGCCGCGATGGCCACGTGCAAATGGTGAGACCCCGCCCCCCCCCCAACTCAGTGTTATTTAGGGTACGCATATGCTCGTACCCTCTTTTTGAAAGCACCCCCTATCTGAGGACTGCCAACATTTCCGAACCCCCCTTTCGCGGGCTTTTCCTGTCTTGGAGACCCCCCTAAATCAGGAAAAATGCTCAATGTACCCCCCTAAATTCGGAATAATTTCTCAGGAGTCCAAAGAGATGAGAGAAAAAAAAAAAGAAAAACACCCCTTTTTAAAGAAATCTCCGGGTGAAAAGTCAAATACACCCCTTTTTTTTCTTTTACAATTCTACGGACTTTGTCGCACGAAAAGTACCCTTTTACCGGACATTTTGGCAACACGCATGCGGTCATTCCGACCTCTGAGGGGTGGGGGGGGGGGGGGAGGGGCGGGGGTGAGGTAGAGCGGTTTATGCGCACGTTGAAGAAAGTTCTCCGCACTGCACATGCCGAATCCAAATCGTGGAGGCAAGAGCTACATCGATTTCTTCGCAACTATCGCGCAACACCACACACAACCACAGCACAACCTCCGGCAACAATACTGTTCTCGAGACCTATGCGCACACGCCTGCCCGAGATATCACGTGAGGGAAACGACTCAGAGCTACGCGAACGCGACAAAGCAAAGAAAAACACCATGAAAGCTGATGCTGAACGTCACATGTTGTTCAGACGTGTTCCCCTCTGTATAGGAGACACAGTTCTAGTGAAGCGTGAAGGGTATGTCACTAAAACAATGACACCCTATGAGTTAGAGCCATTAGTAGTCAACGATGTCAAAGGCTCGATAGTCACAGCAAATCGTGGATCGCAAAAGATAACACGCAACACGTCTTTCTTCAAAGCCATGAAGGAAAACCTCCCAGCTGGACCAGTTTCTGTAGAAGCTGAACAGGAGCAAATAGAACAATTCAATCCTCCTCGTGTTTATAAATGTATATAGCTTCCCACATTCAATCAAGGTGATTATGAGGGTATTCGTTGCCACACATACATATAAATGTTACATAGGAAAGAAAACAGTTCAAACAGCAAGTGAAAACATTGTTCTGGTTAAATTCAAAGAAGATTTGACTTCAGTTTTATATCACAATATGCTTTCTCATTATAAAGCATGTTTTCAAATAACATAGGGAGGGATGTAGTGTTCTAAGATACCATAGAATGCGGAATCGGAAATAGGCAACTAGATTCAACAGTATAAGAATACACGTGAATAATGGAAGCTAAATAAAGTACCATGCTGAGTTCATACTTGAATCATCTGCTTGTCTTATTTGAGTTATCTCACATACACATCTAACAGTAGCAACTATGTTCGTATGTTACACATGCAAGTTCTTCATTATCAAAATCAATGCTTTCAAGCTTCTCATCATCATCATTCACCATCTTTGAGACATCGCATTATTTCTCATCCAGCAAAGATTCAATACGCTTGTCAAGGCGCTGCTCAAACTCAACAAATCTCCTGTTTTGGTGACTCTCAAATTCAGCAAAGTAAGAAACAAACCACCGTGGAGGAGCATCCTGCAAATTTCACGTTAGGTGCGTGCAGTCACTGCTTTACTCTAATCGAGTACATGGGTTTCTGTGCGTCACTAGGGGGGTCTACTAGTCCATACTCTGTACCGTTTCAGTATCGAGCGCCCAATCAGCTGATAAAATAACACACCCTCAACGTTGAACGTAGACTTAGCCATTCCTCTTATTCTGGGGCCCGATATTTGGGGATTGCGCGATCAGTGGAGATACCGCGCTGTGTGTGGGATATGCGTGTGCAGAAGAATAAAAACAGAGAACGGACTGAATCTGGACTAGGGGTCTACCAGTGGCGCATCCAGGGGGGGGGGGGGGGGCACGGCGGAAAATCGGCCGACACGGTTTTCAAATTTTCGCTAGAAGTGGGCCCCTTTTTCGGCCCCCTCCCTTGCCGCCGGCTGGATCCGCCCCTGCACACTAAAAACGGAACTTTGTATGGTGAGTAAAAATCGAAGCTCACTCATTTAGTGGAGAGAATATATCTAATAAATGCATTATTTTACACATTTGGTGAATACACCACCTTTTTCTTAGTGAAATTTTACACACATGATATTTAAAACGAGTATGTGACCCGGTTATTTTCTCGGTGAGTCTTTTTACTCATTAAAGTACATGTAAGTTAATATTGGATGAGTATTTTCTAACGTCAGACCGATTGAGTAAAAATATTCACAAGTGTGTAGAGTGACCTTTTGCTCCCTAATATGTCACAGACTCTTTATTCGTTGAATGAGTAAAAAAAACCAACAACCTCAGTCTCTTCGAAGCTGTACTCGTCTTAGGAGCTATCTTACTCTTTGCATGCGTGTAAATATTTCGCTGATGAATATTCGTACGCGTTCGTGATCGTACGTACATACCTAATCGTCACGTTTTTAGTGGCCGACGAGCCACAAAATAAGTGTAAGTAGATTTGATTTTTTCTATTTTATTCAGACTTTTTCTAAAACAAGTTAAGGCTACCGATTAGATATAGAATCTATAGTGCTGAAATTTTGAAGCTCTTCTTGTGCAAGACCAAAGTGTATGGAGTCATTGGCGACCCAGGACCAAAATCCAGTTGAAACCAATTGGAGCAAAAACAATTGAAACCATTTGCCAACTGGTTTCAAAAGGGAAATTTGAGCAACTGGTTCCAATTGAAACCAGTTGCCAACTGGTTCCATTTGCCTAATTGGTTTCAACTGGAACCAGTTGTTCCAATTTCCCTATTGAAACCAGTTGGCTTCAACTGTTTTCAATTGGTTTCAACTGGTTTCAATTGGATCCAAATGAAACTTACAGTTGGCATAAACTGAATTAGTTATAAGTTAATTATCTTTTGCACTAATTATCGCTCATGTCAACACGGAAGCATTGTTATATGTCTACGTTAAGTACAATGTAAAGGGCATTATAATTTGCAGACCATTTCATATAACATACTTAGCAAGTAAATACGCCTAATACGTTTTTATTTGATGTATTTTGTCCATGGTTAGTGTTTTACTAATCAACTTTTAATCTATTGTAATTAAAAAGATATGCTATTTATGAACATGCTTATCATCGCTAATTAATCTTTATATGTAACCAAAACAAATGCATTACTTGCAAATGAAAATTAATTAATAAATACGTTGTAAATACAAATAAATTACATAAAACATTAATTTGCACACAAGCAGATAATATGCAAATTAACTGGTTTCAATTGGATCCAGTTGGGTAACTGGAATTGTTTTCCAATCGGAACCAGTTGGGTAACTGGAAATGACTTCTAACTGGAAATGAATTCTAACTGGAACCAGTTGGGTAACTGGAAATGAATTCTAACTGGAACCAATTGGGTAACTGGAAATGAATTCTAACTGGAACCAGTTTGGTAACTGGAAATGACTTCTAACTGTAAATGAATTCTAACTGGAACCAGTTGGGTAACTGGAAATGACTTCTTACTGGAACCAATTGGGTAACTGGAAATGAATTCTAACTGGAACCAATTGGGTAACTGGAAATGACTTCTAACTGAAACCAGTTTGGTAACTGGAAATGACTTCTAACTGTAAATGAATTCTATCTGGAACCAGTTGGGTAACTGGAAATGAATTCTAACTGGAACCA